GAGAGGGAGGAGGGGGTCGGGGAGCGGTGGAGGGGTGCAAGGACAGCCAATACCAGAGAGGGGGATGGTGAGCGCCAGCGCGTGACACCATTGCAGCACGCAGTGTCAAGGCCCCAGCTTGGGCTGCTGGGTGCACAGGACAGGAGCAGGTTCTTCACCGCCAGTGAAGAAGCTGCTCCTGTGTTCCGTCCTCTGCCTGGTCCGCACCCCAGCCCCCTGCCGACGCTTTGGGCCCTCTCACCTGCACCGGGACGCCCTTGATGACGGGCCTCTCCGGCTGCTCCTCCAGCCCAAGCGCCGCCAGGTCAGCAGGGTCGGGCACCGTGACGCCGCCGCCCTTCACGATAGAGCCCCCCAGCCACACACGGCCCGCCAGGACCGGCTTGGCCGGGTCGCTGATGTCGTAAGACACCAGGTCGCCTGCACGGTCGGGTGGGCCGGACAGGCGGGGCAAGTTGTGGCTTGAACCGGGATTGACAAGCTGCTCTTGCCCTGCGCACGGGCTTGCCCTTTGCATAGGGCCCTCTCACCCCCGCCTCACCCCTGAGCCAGTTTGAGAAGAACAGCCTCTTGTCGTCCAGGCTGAGCAGGATGTCGGTGATCAGGGGGGGCAGCTCGGGCAGGGCCCAGCCCTCGACCTTGACAGAGAGATGGGGCGGTTGTGGGGAGAGAGGTGCAAGGTGGGTGGACCAAGCAAGCAAGGTGTAAAGAGGGGTGTGAATTGACACTGACAAAGGGGTACGCATGCCTTCAGAGCAGGGTAGTTTGGCGACACCACGCAGCGCAACGGGGATGCAACACGACACGTCCAAGTGCACCAGGTCGACCACCAACCAAAACAGGCACGTGAACCAATCACACCCCCTTGCCCCCCGACCGCAGCCGCCCCCTCTCACCTTGAGCCACGACTGGCGCACCGCCACGTCTGTGGCCACCTCGCCGCCCTTGCCCACCACCAGCCTGATGATGTTGGACGACAGGGCAGCACCCTGGGGGGTGGTGGCAAAGGAGGGGGCACGGTGCGGGGCTGGAGCAGGGGGAGGCACAGACGTGGGCAAGCAGAAGCATGGGCCGCCAGTTGCGCCTGGCAGGGGCTGGAAGCAGCCTCACCATCATGACATCCTGGCAACGCTCGATCTTTGCACCTGGCCGATGCTCCTCGCCCTGCCCGTCCCAACGCGCCCCCACCCACCACGTAGCCCCAGTCCTGTGCGGGGTCGTGGGCGAAGCGGATCTCCAGCGGGATCAGCCCGTCACCACCTGGGGCCGAGGGGGTCAGCGGGGGGCGCGAGGGAGGGGGGCGTCCCAGTGATACGGTTGGCCCGGGAACCAGGCCAGCCGCCATCAATCGCCGCCCTGCTCATAAGTAAGGATTGCAGCACACGCCGCACCAGCACATCCGCCAACCACCGCCGCAGCACACACACAGACTCACGCCCGCTGGCGCAGCCGGCCAGCCAGCCGCCTGGCAAGCGCAGGACCCTCGCTGGCCGCTCCGATCCTCCGGGATTCCTGCCGCGCACCCAGGTCAATGGTTTGGCGCAGTGTCTTGTCCTTCCAGTTCCATACGTGGATCTTGCCTGCAGGGGGGCGGACAGGGGTCAAGGGACGGGCCGGTGAGTTGGGGGTGATGGGCGCGTAGATGGGCCGGCACCGCATGCCCCCCCCCCCCGGGCTAGCAGGGCGTGCCAGCCCCGCGACAGGCCGCTGCGACGCACCACTCCCTGCAGCAAAACCCCGCCCTCATGTGCAGTGTGGGGGTGGCCACTCACTGCCGTAGTCAGTGGCCACCAGAGAGGGGTCAAAACCCTGGAAGAACGACTTGGGGGCACCAAACTCAGTCGACACCTTTGATTCGGGAGGGGTGGTGGGGTGAGGGGAAATGAGGTGGGGGGAGTTGG